TATTTTTTTTAAAAATGGATGTAATACTCTTATCATTCTAGCAGATTTGGCCTTGGCTGAACTGTGACATGAACACCATTTGTCAAAAGCAATCTGCTGCCAGTGTGTCAAGATGTTCGGCTAAGATGGACGTTGGACAAAGGAAAAGGAAGAGACAGCGAGGAGAGAGTAGTCATTTGGCTACACAGGCCTGGGGCATTTGTGCAGTACAGGGCCTGAGCCACTGTGATCACAGAGCATGCAGATGATAAGTCTATAAATAGAAAGAATGGAAGCAGGAGGGACAAAAGCTATTTCCTTTGTAAAGCAATGCAAAAGAATAGCTAGTACTGGAATGGATAAGCAAGAACCACTTGAATGAGTTGTGACTGTAATGACATAAAACACTCTGAATCGCAAAAGTATTCACTCACCTTTTAAACCCTTTTTCATTTTATCAGTCTTTTCTGTGAAACACTACTGTAGGTTCCCAGGTGGATTTAGGTTTGGACTTTAACTGGACCATTTTGATACATGATTATCCTTTGATTTACGCCATTGCTTTGTAGCTCAGTGTTTGGAGTTGTTGTCCTGTTGGAAGTTGAGCCCTCCCACCCCCTCAACTCCCTCCACCCCTCATGATTGCCAGGGTTGACAAGAGCTCAATCCAGTCCCATCAACTCTGAACAGCTTCTCTGTCCCTGCTGAAAATTGCTTCCCCACGGCATCAGTCTGCCACGTCATGCTTCGCAATGAGGATGATGTGTTCAGGATGATGTTTTCTGCCAGACAAAGAGTTTTGCATGTAGGTCAACAAATTTAATTGTAGATTCCTCTGAGAGGGGCACTTTCTTCTACATGTGTGCTGGAGGTCTTACTCAGCCTGTGTCAAACTTTCAATATTTTTAATGTGTTTTTCTTTACAAGTCTCAAATCTCAAGAAGACTTGAGGCTTGTCTCAAGTCTTCCAGAGAAGTCAGACATGTGGCGTTGACAGGTAATACCTCTCCTGCCTATAGATTCTCCCAAATGAGCTGTAGGTCTTTGCAGCTCCTCCAAAGCTGCAAAGACTGGTCACTTGGTTGCTTCTCTGAGTAATACTTTCTGTTGCTTAATTCTTTTCTACAGCTGTTTCCCTGGCCTGTCTGCTATATTTATTGGTCTCTGTGGTGTTGTTTTCTCTAAAACGTTCTATAAACCTCTGAGGATTTCACAGAATAACTTCATTTATACCAACACAGAAGCACATACTCTGCTTAGTAATTAATTTACCGTGAAGGCAACTGTTTTGAGATAGATTTTAAATAGGGGTAGTGGAGTAAAGCAGGGTGGATAGATTTGCACTCCACACTATTGAGATTTTTTATTTGTAAATTATCCTAAGTTATGAAGAAGAAAGTCCCGCAGTAAAATTGGCTTACAATCTTTTGATCAGTCCTGGGAAAACAATGCAAAAGTAACATGCAAATGGCAGCATGAAAGTAAAATCCAGGAACTGGATCCAAAATTTGGATATTCATGCAACTGCCATTTATCACAAGGCTTTTGCTGATTTTCACATCTTTGTTGCTTTTCAAGTATTGTATCACTGAACAATTACTGTAAATGCAGCAGTAGAAAGCCACATATTTCTTCTGAAATTCACATCAGTGACTTTTCAGAGGAAACAGAACTTCCAAAACAGAAGTGACTATGAGCTCATGATGATAAATGCTCGCTTGCAAAAAAGATCCTCTCCAGGGTTCAGATTAACATACATGCATGGGTATGCATTGAGATGGATACCCTTACAAGGTCAAATAAGGGTGCCTCAGTGAACCTGTGGCTTCCTGCAATCAGACTGTAGTTGTGAAGAATGGCCTTGCACATGTGGGCACATGATACGAGCAGTTCAACAGTCATGACTTTCTCATATTTTACCCTTACGGACAGTTGTGATTTACAGGCAAAAACACAGCTTGAGGTTCAACAGAAGACAATTCATTAGTTCATTTGTTGTGAAACGAGTGAGTTTTACACTGTGTGTGATTTCATTCTCACTATAATTCATCAATTATGGAGAACCGTTTCAGCCAAAATTGAATTTGGCTGAAATTTAATTTTCAGCCAAATTTGGCTGAAATGGCTCTCCAAATTCGACATGATGCAAATAGAGTCAGAGAGACAGAAACTTAAATACAACTTGAGTAGCAGTTGAATGTGGTTTCTGCATGGCCTGAGCTTGATGAACCAAATACTAGTTTAGTCTTGGTAAAGGCCAAGCAACTCAAAACACCTGCATCCTGGATATCACTACAGAGAGGCTGCATTTCAGAAATTTTCTAAACTAAAGCATGTAAAACATTCTCCATAACTTAAAACATTATCTTCTACTCAGAAATTAACTGTGTTGTATAACACCATGCAAAAGTACTAACAGCTCTTGAACATTTTTACTTTTTATCTGCACAAATTTTGAGTTGTACTTATTTTTTATTTTTTTGGTAAATTAGCACATCTTAAGACCTTGTAAAATAAAGAGTGCTATACATTTTTACACTCAAAGAGCTGAAAAGTGTGTATTTGTATTCAGAGGCCTCTTGATTCAATTCTTTATGTACCCATTCACTAAAATTACAGGCAATCTTTTGTAGTTTGTCACTACCTGCTTTGCATGTCGAAAAACTGAAATGTGTTTAATTTTGCATTTTATTTGCAAAATGAATGAACAGTTTTTGTGGACAACATTTTTAAGTTCTGCCAGAGATTTTTAAATTAATTTAGGTCCAGGTAATTTTTAAAACAGGACTTTTAGCAAAGCCTTTTCATAGCTCTGGATGTTTGTCCTCCAGGAAGTTAAAACTCTGCCAACATCTCAAGTCTTTCACAGCCTTGGCATGTTTTCTACTGTCCTATTGCTGTTCCTATTCTATTTTAGAGGTTAATCCATCTTCGGCACAGCTTTCCCCTTTGAAGAAAAACTTGTTCGCTAATGTTCTCTAACAAACCTTTGAGGCCTCGGGAGAACAGATGCGATTAAGTTATACACAGGTGGATTAGATTAGCAATTGGTTACACCTGATTTTAACGAGGGGTAAAAGGTAAAAGAGGGCTAAATACGAACTCATGTCATACTTTTCAGACTTTCAGCAGTAAAAACATCTTACTACCACGCATCATTTCCTTCTAATTTGTACTTCCACTTTCTGATTTTTAAAATAAATAGATAAATATAAATCCATTGATCCTTGTGCTAGCAGAGCAGAGAAAAAAAGAGCTCTTCATGAGATAATTTATGCAAATCAAAGTGTTGCATACATATCATCCAGACATACAGTATCATCTTTCTTGGTGTGGCAGCTAACAACTGTGAACAGCTTCACATATTTTAGGTGGTTCTTCAGTTTGCACATCACTCTTGTTAAACTTGCTGACATCAGCATAACTCCAAAGCCACACACTAACTTACAACATAGCTCATTATACTATCTTGCTGTATGGGCCCCATGAGGATCTCATGTGTCGCATATCACCAAGAGCATACAACATAAACGGTGTTTGTGGTCCTTGGGGTCTGCATAATTCAAGCTGGGAGTCACTTCGTCATTCTGATGTGTTAGTGTTTTCTTCAGAATGCAGTCCAACAAATATCTGGCTTCTAGCATTAGAAACTGCCTGCCATGCGCATAAAAAGCTGACATTTGCAAGCCTCTTGAAATTTATAACTCCTCTATTTCTGCAAAACTTCTGACACTTTTCTCATGCTAAGCTGGTGATGGATGGGGTAGAATTGTCCACAACCAAATTCAATTTCAAGAGTTGACCTCTTGTCACATGATCTCGATTGACACATGGGTCATGTATCATGACTGCAGACCTTACTCTGCAAGATAAAAAAAGTAGTTAACGTAATGCTAAATATTTGACTGCTGTGAAAGTTTTTTTGTGTGTTTTTTGTTATTTTACAAACATGTGGCTAAAGCATCAAATTATGAAGAAATTTGAACATAGTCATTGACTGTTTGCCTTCAGTAGCAAAGAGAAATGGCTGTCGTAATTTTTTCCCCCCTTAGGAAACATGAACAGGCGTCATGATCTATTTTAAATTAATATCAAATAGCTTCTGACTATCTGTGAGTTTTCAGTTGGATAATGATAATAAATATATATATATATATATATATATTATATATATATATATATATATATATATATATATATATATATATATATATATATATATGAAATGTTTTAAAAGATAGTTCTGCTCTGTTGGCAAAGAGGTTGTAAAAAAAATATATGACAAGATGGTTACCAATACTGTTACTCCTCCCCACCCCAATTAAAAAAAATGCTTAAATAAACATTGAGTCTTAATTTTTCAGGGTAAATGTATTTACTTTGAGGCTTTTTAAATACCTGAATTTGTGCATTAAAAAAGTTCTTACAGTGCATTCATGCCATCGCATTTATTAAAAGACAAGGCATGAACAAACATATTTTAGGGGAACTGTGTGTTGAAGTGCTGCTTTATCTTCGCAGCTGGCTCTACTTGGTGTTATGGGTCCAGCTGAACACTTTCAGGATGACTTGTACAGGAAATAAAGACAAAACATCATCGGTGTGACTGAGTACTTTGTCATGCCACACCATATCTGACTGAAGTATAATGGAGCCTTGCTGACTGAACAAATGCCGTTTATTCCACGGCCAAAACGCAGAAACCGTACTTCGAGAAGTTATTTCACTTCGGGAAACCAAAACAACATCCAAGTTCAACTATATGAAAAACACCCTCTTTCTCATTAGCCAATCAGACGCTTTCATTCAGGGCAGAAAGCCAATGAGCATCGACAGAGGCGGGCGCTAGCGGCTGTTGCTAGGGCATATCGCCAATGACTTCACTCAGTCAAGCCAATGACATCGCACAGAGGACTTTCATTGGCGTAGACGCACCTCGGGGAGGTTTTCTGATTGGATAGCGGTGTAATCAGTTGGTTTCCTGAGTTTAGGTGCTGCTGTTACTGTAGTTTGGAGTCGTCAGGACTCAGAAGTGAACGTAGCAGCGTTTGGGCTCCGCTGAAGAACAGCTTTTATTTTTAAACCTCATTCCATTATTTTATGAATTGTACATTTGTGTAGATAGATATATATATTTTTTTCTATTTTTTTTAAAGAACACCAAGACCCGGAGAAGATGGAACTGAATTCTCTTTTAATTTTGCTGGAGGCTGCAGAATATTTGGAGAGACGAGACAGAGGTATTTAAAGCTGAAGTGACAGGCATTTATTTTAAAGGAGTTGTTTTGCGGCACAGTTAATTAGGCCCGATGCTTCTGGGTTTTGACACATAGCCTGCCTTCAGTGCAGGTATGATGTCACTTGTTTCTCAATGGGACACAGACAAGGCGATGGGTACAAAGTGGACCCAGAATCATGATGTGCTACAGAAAGAATGATGTAATCTAATTTTGTAGAGACACGACTTGTTCATATCTTGTCGTTTCAATATATACAAACAGGGGATAAAACAGTTGCATTAAAAACATGGGTTGTTTGTGCACTCTGCCTTGATCTGAAAATGTTTGTACTAACAATGGATTATTTCTTGAAGGGACTTAACCTTAATAGCAGTTTCACGTTTTCCTGTGTTGACTGGCGAGCAGTAAACTAACAACCTCATCATTTGTTGTTTTGTGTGTGTCCACAGAGGCAGAACATGGTTATGCGTCTGTTTTACCCTTCAGCAGTGACTTTTCCCGAAAGAAAACGAAAGCCACGCCAATTTCCAGAAAAGCTCAGAACAATAGGTAAATATGCAGCAATGTGTCTTGCCTTCACGTGCCGTGCCATTGTAAACTCTGGCGGTGCATAAAGCAGCCCTGCTGGTATCCACGTCTGGGTTGGGATCAGTGTGTTTTGGTCTCTCCAATCAACAGTGCCACGCGTACACTGTCAACTCTGCTGCCTCCCTCTGTTTCTGTGTTGCCCTCCCCATGCTGAGAGAACCGGGGAGAGAGAGAGATAGAGAGAGAGAGAGAAATATGCACACCCGACACGCATTTAACCTTTCGTTTCTGCAGCATGTCTCACACAGCTTGCCATGCTTTCACCTGGGTTGAAATGCTGTGTTTTTCATGCGGCCAGGGTGTTTTGTTTGGTGTGTCTGGTTGCAAAAATGAAAGTCCTGCAAAAGAAAAACAGAGAGAGAGAGAGAAAAAGGGTCGCATTTCAGGAACTGCAGTCCTGCACTTTCTTCCCACACTCGCACACAGAAGACAAGAAGGTTGTTGTTGTCCTCATGTGTTTTTGTCAGTATTTACATCTTTTTTTTTTTGGTCAGATCTTCGCTGAACAACCTCTCCCGCTTAGAAAATACACCCTCAAGATGTTCTACTGAACTGCAGACAAAAACAAAATGCAGGTTTCAGTTTTGATTCAGTTTTACTTTATGATTTCTACCTTGTTGGATAAATGACTGAAGGTTAATACTGAATCCTTTTCTCAGAATAGCTCTGCGTTCACCACTTTGTGCCACCTTTGCATTCTGGTTTCATGCCTTCCTATTTATTCCCATGTGGGTTTGCATATCACTTTGTCTTCGCACTTTTTATAGCCCTGTTCTAATTATATACTATATCACTTTATTATTAGGGAGATTCTGAACCTTAACCACCCCCAAAATAATGCTGACTGACTTCCTGCTAGTAAATATTACCCTATTGGAGTCATACAGCCACATTTCTTTATAGCGGAGCATGAGTAGATTATAGAAGATTATTTTAGACCAACGTTTTGTCAGTGTGCACAAATCTCCCAGTAGTAATTCACAGTCGGTACAAAATGTCCTGCTGAGATCAGCACTATTTAGTGCATAAAAAAGTTGTGTATCAAGTGACCTAACCTGCAGAGATATGAAAGGGTAAAATGATGAGCACTGACCCAAAATAACCCTGCCATGATGTTTTATTTAGAATTTTTCCTTATGATAGCAGGATTTAGAAAACTACTTTAAATCATTGGTCATCACAGTGGGTACTCATTATCTCTAAGGAGAAAACTAATTGGATCACGATTGGCAAAAAAGATCCCGTGGAAGTTAATTCCTCTCATTAGAAAAGATTTAAAACAGCAACGTTTTTGAAATGGTGATGGTGTAATGTGACAATCAACCCCTGAGGTCTGAGTCAGTTTACCTTTGCCAATACTTTCCCAATGATTTGTACCAAAATGCTCCCATTTCATTCCCATGTACTCCCATTTATACCTGTAAACAATCATTACAAACCTAAATATTTACCAGTTAGATCAATGTATTTTTCTTGGTAGTATTTCTGATTGTCGTTCTGATCACCGCATGGATTACTCGACTCTTGTGAAATTTAAGAGATTCCGTCCTCTGATCAAACTTATGTTTTGCAACTCTGAGTGACGTAAAGATGACTTCAAGTAAACCAGTGTTTCCAAATGATGTGTGGGGGTACAAAACATCCCTTCTGGGGGTTTGAATCGACACAAGACTGCAAAAGTACATGGTATCTGTGCAAATTAATCTGGATCCAAAAGAAATTATAGGTCATGCACAGTTGCAGGAGGCTGCAAACATAACATCTTTAAAATCTTGGTTTAGCTTGACACTGGAAAACATACTTATGACTAATTATAAGCAGGTAATATATTATCAGCAGGATATGACGCTCTGGACATTTCACTAAAATATAAACCATCACCACATTTGCATTAGGTAGCTATTTACAGAGAAGCTTTTAACCGTTTACACACAAAATGAAGGACGGAGGCAGTGTGCTGCTCATGGTCATCCGGTGTGAAAGTCATACTGACAAGTTTAACATGCTTATTTGGTCAAAGTGAAGAAAAAGTGAGGCAGTGAGTGCAGTTTTTTATTTTTATTTTTTTTTATAGTTTCTTTTGACCAGTTTTTTTTTTTCCCAGCTTTGTCGTAACTGGGTTTGAAATCCTTTACATGTCGGAGTGTCGTTAGTGGTGCGCAACCTCCCATCTCTATTTTCAGATATAAATCATTTGTTTCTCATTAAACAATCATCAAAATAGTGCTCGCATCAACATTTTTGACATACAAGTTGTGGAAAAGCCTCCTTCGTCCTGCCCCCGCTAGGACCCAGCTTTGGTTCTCGGGTTAATCAAATCTGGATTTATACTAAAAAAAAAAGAAAATAGTTTATTACTGCTGGATAAATGTAGAACTTTGCTTCAACAATCTTGAATGACTTTTTTTACATGCTGACAAACAAATCTTTACATGTGACAAACCACAGCCTATTTAAAATGAAACTTGAGTCATTGATCGAGTAATAAATCTTTTAAGCTCATGTTGCTAAAAACAGAGTTGTCACACCAGATTGAGCTTCCCTTCATTCATGTCTGCAGAATGTATTGCATCATGTGGAGACACACCCTCAATAAGAGACTAATCTGGATTTTTTTTTTGTAACTGTATGCATTTTTTGAGACTTATTTGAACCTGGTGTACTTAATTGGTCTTTAACTATACTTGTTAGTCTGGATAAGTTGTGACTGTCTAAGGGAATTTGTATGTTTTATATTTTTGTTTGTACAATTAAATGCTAATTAAGATTTTTTTTAAAAAGTTGATTTGTTCAATATTTAGGGAGTAATTTCACAGTAGCAAACTATGCAGCGGGTGATTGGTTGAGGTTAAGAGCTAATGTTTGGTTTGAAGTTTTGTGAAATTAAAATGATACTTCAAGTTCAGCCAGTTCCTACCACTTTCTGCTGATCTTACAAGGAAATGCATCCTTTCAATGAACGGGTGAATAATGAAAAGGGAGTGCGGATGTGTGTGCTGGGTGTGGTGTGTCCCACACACATACCTGCGTGTGGAACGAACCCACGCCCACCGAGTTCGAGGACCAATTTTCACTCCATCTTAATGTGACTGCCCTCAATTAAAACTCTCCTCCATTGTTTCTCTGCCTGGGCTGGACCTTCAAGTTGGGAGTGGACCTGATGAAAATGTAACATTGATCAGGTTTACAAAAACTTAAAAAGATGGTCGACTTGACGTGTCTCCGAGTCTGTTCTCAGAGAATAAGCAAAATAATATTTCAAGCAAGAAGCAGTCCCCACCGAGTTTCTTTTAAATTAACGCTATGTTTTGGCTTTTACTAGTTTCTGTTTCACTGAGACTCCTCTGTATTACACTCACATATAAATAGTGAGATGAAAAATGGCTTTATTTTCAGCCGTGAATTCCTTCCTGTGAGTAGGGAAATGTTCAGGGGATGGCCTTTGCTGTGTTACTTCCTTCTAAAAACTGATAAGGGGCGTCATTGGTTTTGCATGCCATAGAACGTCCTTTTACATAACATGGAAAAATGTGTGGTTTAACCTGTGGGTGCGAGCGTTCCCTTCCTCCTCGCGATTTTCTGGTCGGGCCTTGTGCTTTGACTGGGATATTTTCCTCCAATTTGTACATCTTTCAATAACAAAACTTCCTCCGTGCTGGGAGTGGAGCTCTTTGTCTGCCTTCTCAGATCTGCAGCGGTGTGACATCCTGTGCTCCTTCTGGGATGATATTGTGCAGACGGGTCAGCCGTAACCCTTTCAGCACGTCTTGTTGTTGCGGTACAGCTGTGGGAACCACTGCTTTCGTGAGCTTGGGGGTGTGCAGGGGGGAGCTCTGGGGTGGTGGAAAGTCTGAAAAGGGCTTGTTGTCAGTCTGGCCCCTTTTGTTGTTGCTGTTTTTGTTTTTGTTGCCACGGTATCCATGACGCCCTCATGAACGGAGGGCCTGTTTTGGTTGCCCTCCCGGCTGCCTGCGTGTCGTAACGGGGGGAGTCTCTCCTCGGAATAGTCCATACGCTGGGGAATTCTGCAGCGTCTGAAGCCTCCAGACGTCTGAGAACGGTTTTTATTCCACGTCCTTCGCCGTCAGGCAGAAACTGCAGCAGTGCGTGCAGCGCGTGCATGTGGTGCCACAGATCCCTCACTCTGCGAGGAACAGCTCAGCTGAGCTCTCCCTGCATGTCATCTTTGCAGCCATTGCCCCATAATTGAAAAACACATTTTAAATTTGAAGATCTGCTTTTAGAATGGTACTTAAAAGTTCCGAACTTTACATATTTCTGTCTGGAAGTTTGGCAGAAAGCTCTCCAGCTAAACTAAATTGTTCCAGTTTCGTAAAGCGGTAGCAGTAAAAATTGGTGAGAATTTGCAGTCAGCAGGGGTGTGACCCTGCAGCTGGTCGTCTCTCCGTGTAAATGTCGATCAGTTTTCCACTTCAGCTGCGAAGCAAACAGAACAGCTTTGGTTGTAGTGCGAGCTGTTTACTGCATGTCCTTAAAACTTTTTACTTACTTCATTACTTACTTAGCAACAATTCCCTCACCCGATTTAAGATTTGTTGTCTAAAACCATGTTGTTTGCTTAGGCTCATGCTCCTGTTATATGACCCACTTTCTGTTGATACTCTGTTCAGGGCCAGATGTGCTGCCTTTTTCCTGCCCAGTTTGTTCTCGTCGTTTGATGTAGCAAATCAGAGCCACAGCATCACATTTTGGCTGCTATGTTGTAATTTAGAGCCTTTCTTATGATGGAATGTGTTTATGACTCCAGGTTAATTTGCAGCTTTGCCAGTTCGTGCCCATATATCATAAATCCACGTGTTTTCCATTTGTTATCTCTATACAAAATATTTCACATCCATTTTCCTAACCATCACATATCAGTTTATTTTTCTGGATAACATGATGAAGATAAACAGCCATAAAATGCATAAATCTAAATCCTAATCTCACAGGGTATTTACTTCACCATGTGATTTTATTATACACCTTAATTGTATCCACGATGGTTGTGATGTCAGCTTAAGTTAGTGTACTCTTGTGATATCAGACAGCTAATCACAAAAACAACCAAAAAACTAGGAGATATTAATTAATGGACTCATAATCATTTTTTCCTTACAGCCGACTATGGGAAAATTATAGAATGTTTTAAAATTATTGGCTGTCAAAGCAGGTGCAGGTACAAAATTTTCCCAAGGCAAATACAAGTTGGTTTGTCAGAAAATTTCCCATGGCAAGCAGCTCTTTTCTTTGCTGGAAATCATAAATATTTTCAAATGGATAATAATGCATTACACTACAGCTGCCTTGTGTAAAATTTTATGTGCATGTTTCTATTTGTACTAGTTTTGTGCAGGTCATTTATCTCCTTCCATTCCATACCTAGTTCTACACAGGGAGACATGTATATCATGGACAAAAAAATAATATTCTAATATTTTGTGCAATTTACATTTGCAGTGCTTTGAGCCTAAAAAAAACTGTATTTTAGTTCTTCATTTTTAATAAGTACATCTGTGCTACTGAAGTTATACAAAATAATTATTTTCAGTCTTGTTTTGATATCCTTATGAAACATCAAACAAGTGAAAGTTATTGTGTTATTATTTTCATCATAATTTGTCAAATTCTTATTAGATTATATATTTTTAACAATAAACTATCACATAATTGTCAACTTAATTACATTTTGTGCAGATCTAAGTAATCATTGCTTTTTAGTTAATTGGTAGATTGATATTTTGATGAAATATGGGCTTAGATAATCATATAAAATCCTGATCTCATGTAATTTAATACAGACATATGCTTACATTCAAAACTATTTCTATTGATTTTGAGGGTTTTTTCCAGTTTGGACCAGGAGATAGTAGCTTATGGGACTAATATAGCCACATTAATTTAATTCAGTTGAAAAATTAAATTGAATTCAGCTGCAAAATGAGCAGATCAGTGAAAATGTCTTTAAATCAATGGCTTTCAAAGAAAATATGGAACATACTCAAGGCGGGACATTTGGCAGTACAAATTGTCCCGTTGCATAAGACTATTTTTCAAACCTGAAAAATGTTGGTACAAAATGAGCAAAAGCATGATATGGTAAAGCGTTTAAAAAACGATGGAGACAAATATTTTTCTGAAGTGCTTATATTCAAATTGAATTCTGACTTTTAAAAAAGTTTCCAATAACACCCTATTTCTATTGATTGCGGTTCTAATATTCATTACAAAAGACAAAAGCAGAAGAGCTGTGAGTGAGAACATGTAATAGTGACTCGAGTCACATATTTCCGCAAGTTTAGAGAATCACCATGAAAAGCCATTCGTCAAAGGGAGTATAAAACCTTTTCAAGGGGAGTAAAAATTGACACGTACAAAGCAAAAACCATAAGACAACATTGTATTGTAATTTTCAAAGCACAAAATAAAACCAGAACGTTTTGTTTTCCTTTTTATGTTTCTTAAATAAAGACAGGCATATTTTCAACGCGCTCTGTGTGGTGTTCCCCTAATAGCGGATTTGTTATTATTAACATCAGCCAGAGTGAAAGAGGCCTTAAGATGCTTAGAGGCAAGCATGAGTTCCTTTGTGAGGATCCTGAGCATAACAGCTTATTACACACCTTTCTCCAAGGGTTATCTTTGTTGGCTGACCCCTCCCCGGCAGGTTAACAATGGTCTTGAATTTCCACCATCTGTACAGAATGTTCCTCACCGAGGATTTGTGTAATACAAACTCCTCATTAACCTTTAACCTTTCCGCCCCGATGATCATCAACAGCGCTGGAAGGCTCAGGCTTAGATCGACATGTGCTCTTGGAATGATATCTGGTTGACTCTTTACTACCTGCCTCGCCTGAATAACACATACATTTTTCTCATCATCTTATTAAATATTAATACTCAATGAAAATCTGATGATGCTGTAGGGTCATGCAGAAAGGCTGCCGATGGTTAAAAAGAAGCTTTTGCCATGCCTGAGCATGTTTCTGCTTCTTATTTGTCAAAACTCTTACACTATAAGTGTGTTCACTTTAGAGCCTTTTTTTGTTGCATCACATCACTGGGCAATGTAACCTATCTAATCTGCTTCCATGTGTTTATTTGGTTCTTTGCTCCAACATTTAGATAAAAAAAACATTTAGTCTTTTATTATTACACAGAATCTCATGCTATGTGATGATCTTGGGGTGTTATGATCCTGATCCTGACACTCGTCTTTTCTTCTTTCAGATCATCACACAATGAGCTTGAAAAACACAGGTAAGTTGATATCTGACACTCTGCAACACTGTGCATTTTTTTTTCAGTCTGTTTGATTGGCGATTGTGTTTCCGAGCTGCAGGTAGAAATCAGATTTATTCCTCTTCGTGAAAATCAACCTGCAATTCAAATTGTATGTAATGTCTTCCTCCAAGAGTCCATTGTGTCTGAAATGAGATAATGAGATGATTTCAAAGTGCAACTCGACGTGCGTTAGATCTTTCTCCATTTCAAAGCTGAAATTCGCAGGCAGACGGGGGGGAATCCTGTCAGAAATGAGATAATCCAGCCTAAAATAATGCTTTGAATGGAGGTGGGGAGGATCTGGAGCCTTTTTTTGTAATTTCTCCAGACTCAGAAGTCCACAGATGGCACGCACACTCTCTGATCTGGCTTTTTCCCAGCATGCAACACTCTCAAGCACAAAATTGTTTTTCTTCAACTTATTTTTGGGAACGACTCTCACGATTCATGGTGGGCACGAGAGACACAGATGACTTTTTGCTCTGTTTGGACTTCCATCTTGCTCGGAAGCACACTCCTCCGAGTTAGAAAAACAAAATAGTGTTTTCTCAGCATTATAGACTCCCTTGCAAAAATAGTCATACATATGCAATAAACATTTTATTTTTCATTTTACAACTACAAACTTGAACAGAAGGGAAAAGGATGAATGATTGTCAGCATTTATAAGCAATAAAAACTGTTTTTGTGGCATCGATTTTTATTCAACTTCCCTTAATAAATTTTTTGATCTTCACACAAGCTTTGCACATTACTTTATCGCAAAATAGCTCAAACTCAGACTGGATGGAGAGAAACTTTGAACATCAATTTTGTCCAAGTCTAGCCAGTGATCCTTAATAGAGTATATAGTTCTTGACTTTAACTGGTCCATTCTAGCACCTGCTCCATAGCAGCTCTGACTATATACTGTATGTCTGGGGTTGTTTTTTTTCTGCTGCAAGAGGAATCTCTGCCCCAGTCTCAAGTCTTTTGAAGCCTCTAACAGATTTTTTTTCTGATATCACTTTGTATTTAGTTCCATCCACCTTCCACTCAACTCTGACCCCACTGGAGAAAAAAAAAAGAAATTCCCACATCGTGATGCAGCCACCACCAAGTTTGACCATGACAAGTGTGTTTAGGATTGTGTACCGTGTTATTTTTCAGACACAAATAGATCTTTGCATGTAGGTCAAAAAGTTACATTTTGGTCACCTCAGGCCTCCTTCCACATTTTTACTGTGTCACTTATAAGTCTCTTGGCAAACGTTAAATTTGACTATTTGTGCTTTTAATTCCAACAATGGCTTTCTTCTTAAACTCATGTATAAAGGCCCCATTTGTGAACTCATAGTTGCCCTATCAGCAGAAGTTCAGCAGGTATGAATACTTGTGCCAGGCATGATAAGAAGGTGCAAATTCTTTCTTATCATGAAGAATATGATTTCTTGTAAATGCAGCTGGCCTTCTCTTGTGGCTTTCAAGAAACAGCTGATGTGACCGGCAGCATGTGAGCAGTGGCTGAAATGGGCGTGTTTAAGTGCTGACACACAGTCTGGGCTCGGGGTTTGCCAGTCACATGTCTGGAAGTGAGTAATAGTGTACGTGTGTTGCTTGAAGTGAAACAAGTAAGGACATATTCCTCCGTGACCTGCTAGACGGAGACGTAGGACCTGGATCATTACGCTGCAGGGGTTGAGACACAGAAGTTTCTTCATGTCCAATGACGGGTGTGGCTGGTTGTTACCAACTAAGTGATGATCAGGCAAATTGACAAATTGCACATGGCAGCAAAGACTTCTACAACCAGCTTACACACTTCCCTTATCATAAGCTTTTTTTTCCCTCCACAAAAGGTAGATAGCCGTAACTATATTTAGTAAACACCTGAGTTCTTTTACAGTTTGTCAACATCATGACCTTTATTGGGTACAATATTCTCCAGTTCTATAACACTGACAAATTACCCCGTCAACATGTCATCATGTGCTTTGTTGTTGTTGTTAGACTTGTGACTGTTTGCATGGAAATTTTCAGTCTCTGTTTGTAATAATAGGGTCCCACACACTCATCGATGTAATTTTCATTATTTGCAACGCTATGAGGTGAATCTTTGCCTGAACATGTGCCCTCAAATTACAAGGTCCGCTGCACACACGTCAGGACCTTGTGACGGCGCAGGTCCTGCACTACATACTTTGCCTGTCACATCTGGGTATGCGTGGAAATAATGGTAACTATGCTACTACAATGGTAGTGTTTCTTTCCCGCCAAGTTTTTATGGCACACAAGCTAGACCCTTGTGAAAGCAGCCAGTTGAATATTTACCAGGTTTTCATTCAATATTTTTACCTGAAAATCAAAAGACTAAATCAACACTGTTGGTTACATTATATTTTAAATCATACTGCTTACTATTTATATGATTTAATATATGAAATGATTTGTCAGTGGTAGGAATAATTATTAAAATTTTAATTAATGATTAATTATTTTAAAGGTACTATAGATTTTTGTTTTAAATATTAATATGATTCATGATGGCTTAAAAGTGCAACACTGCAACTCTCATGCCAGCCCATGACGACATCCACATGTATTGTATTAAAATCCACAACAGTAAGATATTAGGTAGGGTAACTATTTAAAACCATTCAAACTAAATGTAAGGCTGGAATAAATGGTAGCGATTGCATGCATGAGCTGGAAGACTCCTCCTCTTGTTTTTTATCTGCAGTGAACAAAAACGTCTTGCCTCCAGTGATACTGCTCTAGCAGTGGTTGATACAGTATGTGGCAAGCAGTGGATATATATATATATATATATATATATATATATATATATATATATATATATATATATATAATCTCACACTTTGCTGTGCCTTAAAATGTCTGCAAAAACAGTGAATAATTTAAGTCTGTTATAATCTGTTCTCTTTGTTAGAGTGTCCTTTCTCGCAACATCTGTCTGTTTTTGAGAGGGTTATTATTCGGTACACTGGTTTAGTAACCTCTGTTTATATGTTGTTGTGGTTCTGAACGTGAATCGAACCCTTACCTAGAATGCACAAATCAACTTATTTGCACCGTTAAACTCCCAGTAGCAGAAATATCAGTTACTGTAGCTAAAGTTGGACATTTCCATTTCAGTTCAGCTGGTTTGCATTTACAAGTTAAACTTCTGTTTACAAGTTATGACTTAATATTTGAGATATCACACCTACAGCGAGCAGAAATATTCAAAAATGTTTGTGTTATAACAAATATGGCAAATGTCTATGGATAATTAAACCTGTAGAATAGGGCTAAGTAATAGTTAAAACTGATAGTCTTTTTAGTTTAGGGTTTCAGTGTCATTACTTGATATGAGTTTGTTCTAGCTGTCAGACTGTTGTGTTAAAATAAGACCAATTTTCTAGTCAGTGGCCGCCCAGGTCCTTTCCTTTTTTATTCTCACTTCCAACAACTTAAATGAAGATGTTGAAAAATTCCCAATCTGCTGATTAATTTTGAAACCAAAACTCTTCTTATTGTCTTGTTCAACCAGTTTGAAACATCTCTTTTGACACGTAGACATGTTAAATCCCCAGCAATCCCAGTGTCACAGTCATCACCTTTCTCTTCCATCGCGCCATCAGACACCTCTTTCGGGAGGGGCTGCTGTTCGAGCTCTGACTCAGGGTTGTTTTGTGGTCAAAGGTTGGGGTGTTTTGGTTCACCCTCCAAGAGCATAGAGCCATCCTTTAACGTTCACAAGGCGGTTTAATTGGTAAATAAATGTCCAGCTTAGATGCCGCAAGGCATATTTTATGGGTGAGGTCTGGTTAGACATGCTACTGGAATTTATTATACCTGATTGGCAGAAAAAAAATGTTTTGCTGTTTTGTTTCCATGAAAGTATCTATGCAAAATCCACAATGCATGCCAAGTTTAGCACTGCCCTTCAAAAACATTCTCCTGGTAGATTTAAATGTATTATGACTTCAACCAAGAAGTTGGTTTTTGAAATGAGACACAAAGCTCTACAAATCAAACAATGTAAAAGGTGTTTCACTGTAGAAAAGCTTAATTTATCTGGTTGGAATGCCTCCTTGCCATCACCCTAATCTTCAGCTTCCCGCATAGATTCAAGTCAGACCACTCCAAAATGTCAACATTATTTCCAGTTAAAAGATAAATGTTGGTCTAAGTAAGACTCTTTAGATCTAAATCTTACAGAGGTATGAACACCTTAACTTTAGTGATTTATTCAGATTTATTTAATGCAAAAGAATTTAATAAAGTGTATTAAATCTTAATCAGTCCTTATTGTGCAGTTAACAGTAATTGTGAGCGACGACTAATATAAGGCACAGTGGCAATTTATCACTTGTATCATAAATGAAAGAGCTTCTTCCCAAAAATAGACAAGTTCATAGTCATACTACCAATAGATGTGAAAAGAAGTCACATTGCAGATTTCTTGCAATAGTTTACAAACTAAATAAATGTGCTCAGTTCTACATTTTGCTCCGACTTTGGTTTCTCTCACTGCTCCCACTGCTATGCTTTGATCTTCTGCTTTTTGGGCGTCTGTCGCTGCTGCCTTGGCAGGCATTCAGGAGGCACCCTGCATATATTTGTGTCTTGTTATCTGACGGAGTCGTCTGCTGGGCGGGTGCTGGGATCCCACTGGGTCATCTGTCCCCGACGTAGCCTGCTTATCTGCAGCAGCCCGACTTTAGCCACGCCAGCTCTTATTTAGATGGCCTCTGTTGTGGTTCTGCTTATTCTTGTGCTTTCTGCCCTTGCCAGAGCTGCAGAGCTTCAGCTTGAGTTTATCGAGAAACCAATTGGCTCTCTGTGGTCGGTATCCTCTGGCATTGCTTCCTTCCCCTTTCTTTCTTCAACTGCTCTCGATGATGTCTGTGACGGGCTTATCGTGCCACATGTTTCCCTTTTGAGCAACGTTGAGAAGTTACTCACCCTTCCCTTTCCCACATGCCACCTGT